CCGGAGTCTCTAGTTCAAATCTTATTTCGGTGATCGGCTATTTTGACTGAGGTTTCTTGTGGTTTACTTGAGTCCATCCAGGCAAATGCTTGTATAGTAGCTTACATTAGGCCACGGCTTCCTTCTATATCATTTACAATTTATTATTCTTGATAAATATAGCATTCGACGCCGTATAGCCTGAATTAATGACAGTGTTGTTAAATAAACCACAAATAATAAGACCTTTAAATTATAGAGTGCGTTGAAACTATCGTATTTTCAAAAACGAAAGAGACAAATTTTTCTATAACATTAAAATTAGAATCGTAAAGTACCGAAGAACGGGGCTGTTTTAGTTTAGATATGGTGTAATGAAACCTGAATACTGAATGATTGTTTGCATTCCCGTATCTTTACGATAATTTACAAGTATTATTACTCTTGTATCAATTCCACGTCAGTTAAGGAAACTTTCTTTCTTGTCATTTTATTACTAATATTGTAATCATTCAGTAAATCATTATAAATGAAAACACGGTCCAATTGCTTGGGGACGACATTATAAATCAAAATTGCTTTCAAGAATACGTTAAGAATATACAAAATTTGTAGAAATTTTGTTGCCAGCAGCTTTAGAATCTGTCTTCCCGCCTCTTATACAAGAATCTAAAATTAAAATGTAAAAATATTTAAGAATGTGTGTTGCTGCCCAGCGGAGTGATTTTTTCCCCCCTTCAGAACAGGGTGTCTGAGTCGCGTTTGAGAACAGAATATTTGGGCGAAAAAAAGGGAAATGACCGGTGGATGGACAAAACTGCATCGTGAGAAACTTCATATTTTTTGTATCGAAGCCAATTATTGCTAGAATGGTCAGTTCAAGAAACGTGAGATGTCGGAGCATGTGACATCGGAGAGATGGAAAGTACATACACAGCTGAGGGATTCCTACGAAAAACAGCGTTAGTTCGAAAGGGCTGCCGTCTTTCAGGCTAAATCTGCATGCATACGGAGGTAAATAACATTCCGACAAAACTTTTGTCTAGAAGAAAATGATTGGTGAAATACGGTTGTTTTCCTGCCTCTACTGCTGTCTTATTTTTTAAAAAATAAAAATTTCTGCCCATTTCCTTTTGCCCTATTTTTGTAAATGCAAACTACTTTACCTAACTGTGACTATATTTTTAAGTTGCCATACATATAAATGCATTGATGTAAAATATAAATGTCAAAGGACTGTTAGTGGTGGAAAGATTGTTCTTGGCTTCCAGAATAGTTTAATTTTGGAATTACGTGGCTTTTCCTAGAAACCCCTCATTTATGGCCGACATATATGAGAAGATACTGCTTGGAAGACCTAAATGTAGGTGACGGTATAATATTAGAACGGATCTTAAGAATAGTTTTTGAGGATGTGAACTGAGTTTAACTGCCTCAGGGTAAACAAAACAAAAAAAAAAGTCAGCGCAGCAAAATATTAATTTTCTCCAGAATAAATCTACGAAGAAGAGGAACTCAGTTTGGCCCCGTCCTAACACCTGTTTCCTAACGTGTAGACAGACAGCAGCGCTCTAACCCTGAATTGGCAATCAGCCGTAGTTTGGCCGGCAACAGTGTCCTGGAATTACCAGAATGGATTGAAGATAAGTACTACAATTTCCACGGGATTTCTGTCTGAACTTATTCCGATTTCTTTAGATGATATACTGCAGTTGTAGGGCTTTACTCGCAATATTGACGTCCTAAATTGGTTTGCTGTCAAATGGTCTGTTTAGAAACGTTGTATGTATGCTCTTTTCTACTCAGTCGTACAATTTTTATACAGTAATATTAAAAATTGTAGCATTTGATTCTAGGAGAATTGCACGTATCGTCGACTCTTAAATTTCGCGATAGAAACATCTGTCCGTTTACTCTTTAATTTCCGCACGGAATATTTTTTTCTTCTTAATAGGAAATGTTATGCGGGTAGTCTATAGGACTGTCTGTATCAACTGACCAGCAAAAAAGAATCCGTTTTTAGATAAGATCGTGTTTCATGAAAGTTCCGTTTTAACTCTTTTATGATGCATTTTTATACAATGTGCACACACACACTCATCTCTGAAATAACATTCAATTATAACCTTGCCTCTCCACACTACAAACTTTATCCATTATTATTTCAGCCATTGTACAGTTCCTTTTTAAGTTCGTGCCAATATAAGGTTTAAAAACCTGTTACATTAAATGAAAATAGATCCTCAAATTATTAAAAAAATATTGAATATGGTTTCAAAATACCAGAAATTGAAAAGAATGAAAACCCGTTTTTTAACAGTGAAATGAACGAACGCTAGTCAGATGTAACTCCTCTGTTAAGTATCCAATAACCAGATACGATTATCTCCCCTTCTGAACACTAAACACCCTTTAAAAACCTGCCACCCTCCGAGTATCACTGGTATTTTTCTCTTTGCACACTCGATACAGTGTTGAGTGCCCGTGTGAGGCGCTCTACTGGATCCTCTCCGGATTAGGGACGTTCACAGCAGCCAGCCACGGAACATTTCAATGGGATTTTCAACCGAATGGGTTTCAATGGTGTGGGATCCTTTCTACATGCTATGTATAGGCTCTCCCTAAATCTCCCCTCCATTACCGTAACAGTGCTTCTGTAAGTGAGCTCCTCTGTGCAACAGTGTCTTTACTCTTCTGTCTGTAGTGTGACTTCTAATTTGCATTGTAAGGAATGATCTTCGCCCAACCGCGGAACTCTTTCAACATGTAGGATCTGAGTTTTTCACGGCGGTGAGTCCGAATATGGCTGTCGTCTGGGTTATTGCGTCGTTTAGTCAGAATTTTACCAATGCTCGTCCTGATCCATCATCAGGTCGATGAGTACCCACAAGACAGCCATATTCACGCTTTAATAGTTTAAAATACGTTTTGTACACAAAAACAAAAGACCTCAGGCCCCAATGAAAAACGGCACAGAGCGGTTTCTCTAAGTACGTATAAGAAAGAATTAAAATTAAACTGGCGAATATTCTTGGACAACTTTATTCGTCTGTTAGTTTAAAAAGGACATGGAGTTACGGACTCTTGCCTTTCTTCGTCAACAGATAAAATTAGTTGAATATTTTGGAAAAGAGTGATCTTATGTCGGGCATTGTACTTTGTGCGTGTCTGAGGTATGCTTGCTAACTTAGGCACGACTTATATCTTTGACATTTCTCTTCGCAAAATACTTCATTATTGAATTTTCTTAAATTATTCCTTAAGGTTAATCTGCCAGCTCATTCAAAACATTGATTCATCTTAATTAAATCATTGGACGTAGGCCTAAAATATTTGTTTTGTTCAAATTTTTAATTTATTATGAAAAAAAGAATTTGAGGAATACACCTAATAAAACCACCGAGTGTGTAATTTAAAACGTATTCCAACATTTTCATAAGTTAATTTTTATTGGTACATAAAATATCTCTGTCAGCTGGTAATCCCTGACATAATGTCTTTACAAGTCTTTAGGGAATAACTTTATCTTCTGTATTCAGTCCAGAAGAAAGTAATTATCTGTTGCTTTGGATGGTGCAAACTTTCGTGTTTGACTGTGACACATCCAATCGGATTACTGGTATTTGAAAATAGAACTCTGACACAAATGTGTAGTTCTGCGGAAGGGCAGGTATCAGGACAATGGAGACAGCTCGCGTGACGGAGATGTGTAGCGCCGGTGACGAACAGTAATTTGGACGCATCTGAAATTTGATTAGTTATGTTCAACATGAGACAGCCAAGCCCATGTTGAGCGTAGCCCAAAGGCGAGTTTCTTTTAGTGTTGATGAATGTTCGGATTGTGTAGCCACACAGTCAACCAATTACCCAGTCAGTTCATCAGCCATTTAATCAGACAGGTAGGCACTCAGCTACCTAGTCAACCAATCACTTAATCGATCGATCGATCGATCAATATATTCTAAAAATTTGTGCAGCTGATGTTGATGGTAGGTGTGAAAATAAACATTCACTTAAGAACAAAGCTAGTAAACTGGAAACGGAACAAAGAAGTTTTAAGTTTCTCAAATGTTAATTACAGATGAAGGAAATTATGTGATTTTAAAACAATATTCATCAACATAGGTATATACAGAATTAATATATATGTGTCATTACATTTACGTTGTTTTACATGAGACACCCGTACATACACATAGCCTAATATATGTTAGTCTGTTATAGAATTCCGTAAGGTAATTGAAATTTAGTTGAATGAAAGCAGCTACGGGATGGGTTTTAATTAAGATTCTTGCAATTAAACGAAAATTTGTTACACTTCAACACATTCTATAATAGTCTAATTTCCTTGATTTATTTAAATTATTATCACAAATATACTAATATATATAGTAGCAATTTTTTCTTTGTGTACTAGTGTCCTCTGCACTAATGTATTTTTATATTCTGTTTGTTATTACCTTTCTATATTTATTATTGTGTTCGTGTGCTCATCTCTGTGCTGTATTTGTAATTGGTCTTCAGGCTGTTGATACAGCACACTAATAATAAATAATTGAAATGAATTGAATTGAATTAATAATCTACATGCCTGTAAAGTTATTATAAGTATTACGTATTTGGGACGCCTCATGCTTTATTATCCTACTCGTTGATGTGACTCTTGTTTATTAATTATTGAAAATCCTGTTCTCCATTACATTAATCCCAATAATTTTAACTAATACGTAAATATTGGAAGGATGGTCGACATTTTAGAGGGATGGTGATAAAAGTGTCCACCTTTTGTAAAGGTGAAAGATAAAAGAACGCAACTTCTGTAAATACAATCAGTTCACTCTGAAGGTGGCGTCGTGCAGAACCATGAAGATTAAAATAAAACATTTTAATTAAGTACAAAACATAGAATGTCTGACGATTTAATAAAATTACGTCAGTGAGTGATACGGTGGAATGGATTTGAACTTAAAAATGCATTTGATGTGTCTTTCAGATGCAAATAGCCTTGATGGCTCAACTTCACTGAGATGGTTCTTTGAGATGAACGTGCAGAACCGCTGCGGGAATATCGCAGAGCCCTTCGCTGCGCATAGGCGACACTCACCTTCACCTTGTACCGAGGTTAAATGTAAGTGGAGATTTTCCTTCATGCCCCACTGCCCCTCTACATCTTATTGAGGTATCCTAATCGAGAATAACTTGTAGAATTTCTAAATATTGTACGTTGCATCAGAATTGCGTTTCATTCGACGTTATCCGTCAAAGAATGGCTGTTTAAAGTGACATAAGCCGCTGTTGTGTTGAAGCGTGCATTGTGGTGATCGCGTTAGTTGGGATTGAAGAGTCGAAAACGGAAGTGTGTTCCTCCTCACTGCTGATGGCGCAGTGTGGGTGTGCGACACTGAAAAGGGATGATAATAAAAAGGAAAGAGAAAGACAGAGAAACAGGATAAAAGAAAGGGGAAACGCAGACTAGAAAAGTTAACACCGAACTCGGTTGGAGTGCTTCAAAAGAGGTGCCTACCACCTGTATGCGCGGGACACTGTCCCGAAAGTTAGAAAAGCTACATAAAGCCTCTGCAATGGTACCGCGGCTCCGGAAAGAGTTGATGGTACCTACAATCTCAACTGTCCTTACTCTGCTGGGTTGTTGCGCCTTGTAGTCTGATAAAGATGTTCAGACGTTTCAGAAGTACTTGATGCTCTGGAACGTCGGTAAACGTCTGCTGTACTACACGGCTAGCAACCCATTACCAGAGCCTGAAATCTCACTTGTCCGCACGTATGTCTACTAGCCAGATTATAGGCTGTAATTATAATTTGCATTCTCATTCACGGATCGAAATATCCGTTACGTCTCCAGTACAATTTGCTCTCTGTCATCATTAACAGCAACAACAAAATTATTTTTGCAGGTAACGTGATATTTTAAGAAAGAATAAAAGGTCGTATGAAGGCTTATAATGCATTTTATGAAATTAGGTTGCTAAGGTAACAGAATTTTTTGCACTATTCGACAGAAACAACTCAAAATTGAGTTTGTCTCTAATTGAGCTGCGAATAAAAATCTTACGAAGAAGCGTCTTGTAAAATAATCACGCTTGAATCTAAGGTACTGATACCAAAAAAAGGAAACAAGGCAGGTCAGAGTGGACTCATATTTTGTTAACACAAAGACTTTACTGGTACCTGCCTCAGTCCAATGTGTACGTCAGTTTCCGTAGAAAAGAGGATAAAGAAAGGAGCTAACAGAAGACGAAAATGAAATTGTGTGCGTGCTAGAAAGGGTTCTTTCTAAAATGTCTCCCTCTTACTTTCCGTTTCTGTCGACAGAAATCGTGCTCACAAATGTGCCAGAGAAGAACAGTAATCCGTTCTTCAGTTGCAGAAAGAAAAAGGGGGAAAAAGTAGTTTGAAAGAAGGAAAATCTGTGATAGATTGACGTCTTCTCGTATAATTCGGCCCAATCAATCACCGGGCTCAGGACGAGAAAGAAGCTACCAGACCAGATCCTCCTCCATGGGGGATTACCGCAATGCAGTAGCAGCTTGAAAGGACCCGCCCAGAGGTCGTTCGGCGACAGTGAGGAAACAGGAACCTGAAGGAAGATTTGGAGCGTTGAGGACTAAAGGAACAGGGTAAAGAATCTGGCAGTTTATGGAGAAATTGAGGCCCGGGCAAAGCGTGCGATGTGGATTCTGTATATCTCTTCTGAAATAACACACTCGTACTTGGAAATACGATCTTTTTAAATTGAAATGGCACTATTATTTGTTTTTTATGACAAAGATAATGGTGGTGATGATAATACATTTAATAAGATTTGGCCATGCAGAGGAAATGAAAAAACTACGTAAATGGTGAGTAGTGTCAGCGGTAGCAAAATGAAAAGTGAATGGGATATTGAGATAGCGCATGTGCGTTACATTCGAGACCTGGATCAACAACTCATCAGAGAAAATTTCTTTGGCTTACGTATGGAGAACGTGAAGAAGAAACTGGGGTGAAATGGTTACAGTGCGAGATCACGAAACTGTGCTGCAAAGATACCGAAAAGTGCAGGTGACATACATGAGGAATGTGCCGTCGGTTTGATGAGACTTTAGAACACAAAATAGCGGAATGCTCAGCTCCGATGACGTCACCTTACATTTTCTGATCAGATCTAACCTAACCTAACCTAACCTAACCTAACAAAACGTAACCTTAGCATAGGTAGACAAACTCGGCTATGTGGCCCAATTCGCCCGAGGTCGCCTTTGTCGCCACAGGCACCGTAGTCACATCGGTCGCCAATTTGTCAAGGTCGTCCCGGTCGCAGTGATCGGTAGTTCATGTCGACGAAGTAGCATAGATCGAAACGGAGACTCTCCGCGGCCATTGCTATTATTTAATAATTTATTTCGAACCGCAAAGTAAAAACAACGCTTCGCCAATAGAAAGATATTTGTTGACTCTGTTCAAAGAAATGTTCGCTGTGTACACTAAAAAGCATATGAGATATAAAAGAGTTGAGGCTTGAAGATTGTCAAGCAGGAAGGCAGGCCTTTACCATTAGGCTTTAAAAGCTGGGGGCTGGGACTTATTGACCTGAGTTGTGTTCCATATTTTGATGACACCAAATTATTAGGTTAAAACGTAAGTACCATAAAAGTGTAAAGCGGTTTTTTCACAAAACAGTAAATGAATTTATCTAGACGGGGAAACAGATAAGACGTGACAAGACAAGCAGGCCACAAAATGAATGTCTTTACATTTTTTTTCGGTAATGAAATATTAATATTCGTTACGAAGACGTTATTACTGCAGCATCAAACGTTAAATTTTTGTATCTCTTATTCTTTATAAGTCTGGATCCACTACAGTCATTTCGAGGCTGCACATACTGTTGAAACCATCTTATTCATGATTTTGCTAAATTCCGCTTTCCTCGAGGTTTGTAGTTGAAGACACTCTTTTAATCTCTTGTCTGACATCCAGTGAATGAACCATCTCCACAACTCTACATCCTGGTGTTACTTAATGTAGTCCCTGCCATTTTTACATTGTGTAAAGTTTGCTGCACGGTAATCGCAAAGTGAAACTCTGGATAATTAAGTTTTATTTCTGCCGAATATTGCATCTCTGTTTTACATAATGAAGAAGAACCTAAGAGCAGTTATGATGTTGAAATTAAATACGATTAATCTGTGCTATATTTAAAAAATATGTCGAAAGATCTGTATTTATTCTTATTAATTATAATACCTTATTAGTCTTTATTCACAGATTTCTGGTAAACGTTAGTTCTGTATGGGAAATCATTATTACAAATGGCTTGGTTGTCAGTCTATTCGAAGTATGAATGTTATATACACCTTTTTGACCAATGATATTTTTAGGTCCTGTCCGCCAAAAGTGTATTTGATAACAGTTCTGTAGCTAGCGAAACCGCGCGTATATTATACAGCCCTAATAAAAATAGCATGGAATGTTATTCCACACATCATCGAGATATCGAATCGCAACAATCAATCGCCACAGCACCATTCCTATCATACCACACACCCCCTCACACACGGTACACACATAACAAGCGAAACAACTGGCCCAAACCATCGGCTGTATGCGGGGAAGGGACTTCCAAATGAATGGGCTTGCTGACACGCGAAATGGACTCCAAAACTCGAGCACGGGTGGAAATGATAAAATAGCCAATATCCTACATGTTTTCCCAAACTGTGGATCCAGTTACTATACAATAGAGTGATATTTTATGGCAACAAAAACGAATTGGTGATGGTTGCAAATTTTCAATGGCGTTGGCTTTTGCGAGCAGGAAGCAATAGAATGGGAGGTGAGTTTAACATTTATTGTCGAATTCCTCACTGTGTGTGTGTGTGTGTTTGCAAAACACTGTACGTTCCGATACAACGCCGTGGGATCCGAAATGTAAGCAGGACTCTGATTTAAAACAAGCCGGATAATAATATAATTCCAATCTGGAACCTACAGAATTTCATTCCATGTGGATAAATAACCATGTCATACAGATAGGGTAGGCTCGTGACAGCTTAACTCATGAAAATATTTGCACGGAATTATGATGATTATTAAATGTGATTTTATTCCCTTTCTAAAATGTTTAAAATGTGTGCAATATAGCTTAATTATACATAGGCCACGACCACTTCCTTCCATATCCTTTCCAATTCATTATTCACTATCGTCCTTTCGTTCCACGTTATAATCCGAAATACTGAGGAAAAAAACTGGCCGATTGCCTTAACTCGGTTTTTGCTGCCAAATTAGTTGTAAGGACAAATGCGATGTCGTAATGAGAACTTGTGTTGGGCAAGGCCTTGGTCTAGGCAACACGGAGTTTTCCTCCGTGGCATCCCAACAATTACTCCATTCACACACAGAAGAAGGCAATGGCAAACCACTTCTGGATCATCTGCCAAGAACGTATATGAACAGGTCCCAGTCCGAGAAAAGGTTGGAAGGATCCTGTTCATATGGACCTGTCGTCAGATAGAACACTAAATAATAAAAATAAATGCCTAAACCATGCTTTTTCCATCATTGAAAATAACAGGATCCAGAGAATAATTCATGCATGGCTTGCATTCGCTGCGTTTAACTGTTTACAAACAATAAAACACACATCCGGCAGACACCCAGCAACCCAGCTGTTTCGTACTTTTATTTCATCCAAGATTTACGCATTGTGGCTGCTTCATGAATGACCTTTCAGCTGATTAAAACATCACGAAGTTAGCGTTATGATACGAGTGATTAATTGGCATGCGTCAGTTCATTAATTACATATGGTATAAAGGTATCGAATGGTATACCAATCGGGCCATATTCTTTTACGTCATCTATACAGAGACGTTGCTGCCCTCTGGGGCCGGGTTTCGAATGCTGGTGGTCATGTCATGTGGTAGAGGTCATGTCATGTATCATATCTTGTCTCACAGCGATCTCCACTTCGCTTTTTTATTTTACTTTTTTACCTCATTCCGTATTCTGTGGAGGGGCTACATCTCCCCGAGGACCCATATTTCCTATCCCCAACTCGACTCGGATGAGATATTCTGAATTTTATCAGCGATTTTTCCCAACGTACCTCTTAGATTTATGCATATCGGGGGACCGTTTAGATCTTTCCTCATACTCCTACACTCCGGTATCGTCTTCCCTCTGCCATTCCTTCTATCATTTTTGTCAAAAATGTGAAATTTATACGTCGAAGCCCTTCTGTATACAAGCGGACGTTCCCTTCCATCCGGCCTACAAAAATAGCCAAATAATTCGACCGAAGTTGTCTATAAAAGAGGAATTTATCACGAACAGAAAAGGCATGGAGCAGTAACCTCCTCATCTCCTTCTCTTACCATGTTCCTTCATCCTCCTTTCTTTCTCACTCTTTCTCTTTCAATCCTTTTTGACCACGTGGATCCTCGATATCTACCCTGGTCTCCCGAAGGGAAGAATACGAGATTACATTTACTAGTCTCAGTCCCAAGTGGCGTTATCTGTCACTACAGTGGCCGTCTTGAGAGCGGAGGAGTTCTATCTTGCATTCCCTGCAGAGAGAAGTAAAGAATAGCAACATACTTTAGCAAGGAGGATTCTTGAGGAATAAGAAAAAGGCAAGAGAAAGCGTTGGCCATTCGTCGTGTAAGCTCAGACATAAATTTGAATTCCGTCTGGTAAATGACCGGGAAAATTTTTCTGCTCTTGGACCAGTCATGAAACTTGGAGATGCCTCGACGGAAGGTTCTGTTCTAAACTCACAACAGATCGAATTATCTACCCATTTCCAGTAATAAACATAACTGAGTACAATGAACCCGTGTATCGGTAGCTCGATATGCCAGCTTAACTGAGAGAATCGATCCGAATGAACTCCAGGACTACATTTGCTCTGAGGTGTAGAATCTGACCCACATTCAAAAGCTTCCTGAAACTAATTTGAGGGCTGGTTCAGCGTGAATTTTCTCACGACTTTCGAAAATATCTTCTGTCGAATTTCATTCTGGTGAAGTAAAAGTAGGTTTATATCGTATTCTTGTAGGTTTCTCCTTTATAAAATGTCACAGTGTGCGTTGTAAAACAACAGTTACACAGAACGTAATTATAAGAATGTCTACTCCCATCGATTTCCACCTGAATGTTTGTATTGAACACAGCTCACTGTTTCTGTTTTATCAGGTTTAGTTTATGCAAATGTGATTTTTTGGTAGGAGAAACAGTTGTTTTTCTCGTACTTGTTGGAAATTCAGAACTTACTAGCGGGGATTGAAATACCACACGATTGAAAATACCTCTCAACTATTCCTTCTGACAAACAAATCGTTTGGTATAATACCACGGCCATTTACTTTTAAAAATAAATTAATCTCCTTAGGGTTTTTGATACGACCATTTTTTAATGTAGATGAATAATCTAATAATGACTCCTCGAGTTTTGCTTTCAAAGTCCTCTTATGGTACGGTGCATAAGTTCAACGCTGTGACGTGTTGGCCCACAGAAAAGTATAGTCACATCTCACGTGTTTGATACCTTTGCGATAGAATAGGACGCGTGTAAAATTCATCTTTACAGAACTGTAAATACTGAGTCATCTGACCTGCTGTTTGTATTGGTTTTGCCTTTGCATTGACGTTTATAAGAGACGATCTCTGACAGAGCTCGACGTAAGTTCGTGTTTGTATTCATGGGTTAGTGAAGTGTCAAAACAATCAAGAAGTCTTTGTTTAAAATGTCGAAACCAATTACGTTTACTAGTGTGAAGTTTGTGTCACATTTCTTATGCCACAGTGTTCGAAAACCGATAATATCTCTTAGACATTAATAAATTGTTTGTAGTCCCCTACGTCAATAAGAATACTTTGTGCTTCGCTGCATATACGTTCAATCTTTTGTTTTGTTTTCCTGCAGTAGAAATACTCCCCTAAATTTATAACTTATTATAAACTAGTTGAAATACTTGTTATTGGCTCAAAATCTCTTAAAGTTTTACTGCTAATTAAATTGTTTATTGCCTGTCCTATCACAATCCAGTTCAGTGCTTGTATGTATTCTGCGGGATGCATCCTGTTGTGTGTGGATCGCTGGGTTAACACAACAATTATTTATTGTAGTTGCAGTTGTTATTAAGAATCCATTACAAGTTTCGACCTTAATTCGTCATATTCAGGTGGTTTTCTTAACTGACAAAGCAAAGTTTATAATTCTAATTTCTAATTCTAAATTCTAAGTCCATACAGCATCAGTGATTGCATAAATCATGAATAATTGGCAGGGATATGGAAGGAAGCAGTTGTGGCCCAGTTTAGGGAAGTCTACTACCTCGGGATTTGTCTGGAGATCCTGAAGGAAACCTCAGTTAGGATAGACAGCCGGTCTCGGTCACAGATTGAGCCCAGGACCTTTAAAAAATACCAAGCAGGAGTGCCAACGCGACGTTTTGTAATAAAATTATGTACAATATGTATATAGCCACGGTGGTCTGGCGGTTAGAACGCTGGCCTTGTAATCCTGGGGTCTCGGGTTCGATTCCCGGCGGTGCCCGAATTTATAACTTGTGTTGGGCAAGGCCGTGGTCTAGGCAACACGGAGTTTTACTCCGTGGCATCCCAACAATTACTCCATTCACACACAGAAGAAGGCAATAGCAAACCACTTCTGGATCATCTGCCAAGAACGTATATGAACAGGTCCCAGTCCGAGAAAAGGATGGAAGGATCCTGTTCATATGGACCTGTCGTCAGACAGAACACTAATAATAATAATAATAATAACCATATGTATGACATGAACAATTTAATAGAATTGGTATAACTAATAATTTACGCAGCAAATTCTTGGGTTATTTAATGTCCTTTAGTTCAACTTTATGGCTTAGGCCCCATATAACGTTGAATGACATGTTGATTGTGAATTAGAAATTAGGAACAAGGTGAAAGAAACAGTCAGGGCTTGTTTGTGAGTTGCTCTTTCGTCATTTTCTAGAGAGACTTAGAAAAGCAATGAAAAGTCCCAATATGGACGATATTCCTGCCGAAATTTGAACCGACGGTCTCACGAACGCGAAGCAGGAGCGGCAGCCCCTAAACCTTAGCTTTCGTTGGATGAAAATCCATGTTAGAAAATTTGTTCTTTAAAGCGAAACGCCTGCTAACATTTCTGGAGTTGTTACCGCCAATACACGTAAGCCATATATTTGCCATGCATGTTATATTAGAAAGATAGTTTACGAAATAAAGGACATTAGGACACGTCCGAAAAAGGTTATGCTACGCAAACTGCCATCTCTGGTGCTCCCACATGCAAATTTCAACCTTAAAAATACAGTTTATGTTATGGGACTCTCGTATCTTGATCTGTTATAGGTCTGCGACTAAAGCTAACCCTCCTAACCTAACCTCACCACCCTCTCGGTGCACAAAACCTCTCGCCTGCTCGTTCGAATGCAAAACTCTGCATAGTGGAACAATAGGACAGGCCAGAGACAAGATCTCCAACACTGGCTGTTGGCCGTCACTGTGAGGGGAACAGAAAGACCACGATTTCGATTATCGATAGTGAAGTATCTTGTTATTTTTTAGACCACCCCTATCGTCACCCTATGTAGTAGAACGTTTTTATTTTCTCGCGTCATTTTTCACTTTCCTTGTCGCGTGTTGTGATAGCAAAGTTGACAGGGTTGTGGAGAGGAGGGAATGAATGTTCTCGAATGTGTTTTGGGTTGTTTCCTGAAGCACAATGTCAATAGTCGCAGATTATCTCCTGAACTTTTAAAATGTATCGTGTAATGCCAGTGCACCCTGCATATTTTTCCACTCCGAAAGAGGTAACGTACCAAATAATTCTTTTATCACCAGTAAACCTATGTTTGTTTGTATTTTTTATGAAGGGTCATAATTGTTGTATCCTCGATATTAAAAGTTTTATCGTGTTTAATTACATATGGACTGTGATCTGAAGTAGCTTGAGTAGGAGGTAGTTTAGTTTGGTTTAAGGGGTATGTCCTATTTGTTTACCCACGTTGC